TAATTGCCGTGAAAATGGTCCTACAGATCGATCAAGCAATCCGACAGTTTCTTTGTTTTTCGTTGAAAGGAACTCGATGATGGAGGCGAGTAGTGAGAGAAACAGTTGTTATCCTTGTGAGAAGTGAAAAAAAAAAAAAAACCTCATTGTCACTGTGTCAAAGAGTTTTTAACCGGGGAAAACGGCGATGGGCGGCGCGACTTCCGGTAGCACGCGGCGACGCGCCGTACTTCCTCAGTAGATTCGAAAATTAAAGTAATCGCAAGTAAATCGTCGTCCCCATCGCTGATGAAAAAAAAAAAAAAAGAAAAAAAAATTGTTTCTCGTCGTGGTATTTCCAAATTGCAAGGTTAATCCTTTTGCTGCATTTAAATATTCTTACAAAGAATTTATTGTTAACCGTTGTCTTCTGTCCTTGTTGAATCAATAATAATAATAGTAATGTTAGTAATAATAACGACGACGACGACGATGATAATGATAATGGTAATTAACTCTCTCAGTATCAATCTCATAATAAATATTGATTGTTTGCGAAAGAATTAATCTTGTTGGAGGAAGAGAGATTTGTGGCGCATGCACGTGCAAAAGTATCGAATCACGTAAGCGATGTAAGCGTTTATCGCCATTTGTTATATCACCCAGTTCCGATATAACCAGCGAAAAAGATGGTGTGCCCGAGTATTTTGAGGCGCGGCAGTCCGATGGGAAACGGGGCAACGGGATTTCTGTTGATCGACTGTTGCAGCTGCATAGCCAGAAAGATTCTATTTTCAAAATCTGGTATTCCCGGTCTGTATCGTAGAAACCGAAACGTGCCACTGCCTGCGGGTACCGAGACGCCGGACGTAGACACAGTTCGTACTGGCATTTAACGTACATGCATACATAGTAAAACTTTTTTCTCTTGGGTTTTTCACGCTCCGCCATTGTTCGATAATCGTGTTGATACACATCTCCGAGCACCGTGCATCGAGGTTTTCCTTCCTTTCCCGTTGTCGATCTCTTCGCCAGAGAGATCGAACCTGAAACAACAGTGTACACTTTTCAATTGCAATTCAACAGCCGGCACATTGTACGAACATGAATTCGTTTCGCAAGGAAAGAAAAAGCATTTGAAAAAAAAAAAGAAAGAAAAAGAGGTTGGGAAAGCTCGACCGACGCTGTCAGAGAGAGATCGATTTCGCGTCTGAACGACGTAAAAAAAAAAGGAAAAAAAAAAAAAAAAGAAAAATAAAGAAGTTAAATAGAGCGTTAATCGCATCCTTGTACTATAAGCAATAAACGAAAAAAAAAAAGAAGAAGACAAAGGAAAAGAAAAGAGAGAGTGAACGATGCAAGACAATTCCGAAGATCGATACCAGTGATCCAATATAAATACAAGTGCTGCAATATCTTACTGCTGGGTCGATCGTCATCGCGCTCGAGACGAACGGCGAATTTCCTCTTCGTTCTCGGGAGAGAAAGGGGGGAGATCCCATACACAGAACTGTCACGATGTTTGGGGGGGGGGGGGCGCTAGAAGGTTAGAAAGAGAAAAAGTTAAAAAAAAAGAGAGAGAGCTACCTTAGACACGTCGAAACTTGTATTTAAAAAAAGAAAAAAAAAAAA